TGAAAGATACTCCCTTCCTTCCAGGAAAGGAAGTGACATTTAAAGCGACTAGGAAGGCCAGCAAAATCCCACTGTAGCACTATGGACAGCATACTATTCAGAGACTATCTTTATAAAGCTCTATAAAGCTCAATACAGCTGTCAGGTAGGCAATAGGAAGCACAAAACACAGCTGGTTCCTACCACTAGATTTGCTCTTGTGCTGCCTGCATTTCAAGAACGAACAGGAAAGCAAATGGATGAACTACAGCTTTAACAACACATTTAGGCCAGCTAAGAAAACATCATCTGTTCAGATCTACACAAATAACTTTCATTAGTATTGTACTGTCTGCATACAAGTTGCCAGTGAACTGAAGTACAATCCCTAGGAGAAGATAGTAGAAATTATACTTAAAGGAAAGGTCAATTCAGTACCATTACAGCAATTTTCAATTTTTCCAGTTTCCATGATTATTTTCTATACAGCTTTAAGGAGGATTTAAATCCTCCTTAATTTAATCAATCTATATATCCTGGTAATATCAACTAACATAAATCTTTCATAACCACATGATGAATAATAACCCAGGCTGGAACCTTAGAGTAACTGATATTTAACAATTCAAGTTTAAGATGACATATGCTTGCTTTTACCAGGTGTAGATACATTATGTCCATCTGGTGAGTGATCTGAAATGCTCTCCCGAGTTTGTCGGTTGATAATTTGTGTAGTTTTCACGGGGTCTGAAAGGTGAAAAAGCAAGCTGTTATAAACAAATTTAGTTTTCTTTCAATTAAAGTGATGAAACAGAAATAGAAATCACACAACCATATGTGGTTTACATGCTTGCAAAATAATTGTCAGTTATTTTATAATACATTTCAGAAATTATATAAGCAGTGAGACAGAGAAAATAATTCCAGTTTTTGCAGAAGGAAAGGGGCATCCTGATCTTTCCTGCCCAAGGACTGAAAAGGTCCCAAAGCAGGAAAGAAAAATAGAGGAAAGCAGGGCTATGGCTTCAGTCCTCACTAAGCAGAGAGGCAACAGAGTTATCACTGCGTGACAGTTATCACTGGGCAGTGGAAGTGGTATCTCTGAAAGCCTAGACAGTCTCAGATTATTTCTTCTTCCCTTTCCCTGCATAAAATATTGAAGTTTACCTCAAAGGTCTTAAAAACACATGCCTCCCAGCTACAGTTGTTGCCAGACAGTCTGGTGTGCTAAAGGAGGTCCCTACTAGGGGTTTGCAGCAATCTGAGCAAGCTTAAGCAGAGGTCCTGCATGCCTCCCGAACTGCTTGCCAGTTCTGTAAGGCAAGTTTTTTCTTTCTTTCTCAACATGTCAGCTCACAACACTAGGTATGCTATGCCACAGGCAATCAGCATTATGCCTGGCTTGTCCCATCTGTGCTTTCATACCTTGCCTTGTCCTTCAACCAGTGTAACTAACAGTAAACCTGTATATTAAGGTGAATGATGTGGAAGAACAGAGCTTTAGGCTACTGCATTTGATAGTTGTTGATAGCAGAACATTGTCAGTCCCACCCACTGGTCCCAAACATGGGTGTTTTTTTTTTTTTTTAAAGCAACCAAATTATGAAACCATCTCCCAGCCCTAGACACTAAGTACCATTTCTCTGGAAAGGAGCACGAGCAGGCCTTGTTTCTCTATCAGGCAGAGATCAAACTGGCCCAAATGTTTTCCCCTGAAATTAAATGTGAAGGCTGCAGAAGGTCCGAAATTGTTCCTCCATCTGTATGTGCAAACACTCAGAGCATTACAAGGTTGTCATGGATCACCAGAGTTTGTTAGCCTAGTGCATGCATCACCTAGTTAGTAACCGAAATTCCAAGACAATAGATTTAGAAAACACTAGTGCCAGGTTGTATAGTTTCATTGCAGATAAATAATAGAACTTCTAAACAACCTGTAGAGTTGCTTGCACACCAATAGGATTCTCACATTGGCTTTCTTTAATTCACATACCAAATGAAAATAGTTAGGTGAGGTCATATTATACAAAAGATCTTGTGTATTTCAGCTCATGCATACATATATGCATATGTATGCATAGTTACTGCATCTATTAGCTATTGCACTCACTTTCTCTCACGCACTTTGTGCTAAAAAGCTCAGAAGATGAACATGAAATAAATAGCATTACCATCTTCAAAGAGAGAACTATGGTTGGGGTTACTTGTCAGAACTTGCCCCAAGTTCATGTATAAATATAGATTAGTCCATGTTGTATTTGGATTAATCAGCATGAGCTTTAATGCATGGCTGAATTTCTGCAGTGCTGATCTTTACAGAGAAAAGAAAGCTGAGATCAACAATCACCAATTTATTCTCTTATCTGGAACTTTATTAGGGAATAATAATTAGTTCCCTAATTCTGGCTCCCTATCACAGCCAGAATTATCTGGAGTACAGTAAATAAAGTACAGGGACAGCAGAAGGTTGGGACACTTCCCTGAATTTTAAGAGATATAAATAGCTGAAGCTAGTAGGTCCAGTGACATGAAGACATCATTGCACGTTGTGCCAACACAGAAGCATAAGGAGTCCTCATGTCAAAAACTCAGGAATTAGTGCTAGAACAGAACCTCCTGTTCTAGTTTGGGAATTGTCCAGTCTCTAAAATCAATACCTGCTATTATGGCACATATGCATAACGGCAGTGGACCACGCAAGTGGCAGTCAGATAGCTTTTTCGCACAGGCCTGAAGATTCTGATGACACAAACTTTTGCAGTGGCTTTAGAAGGCCTAGATGATACATTTGCTTCTGTCTCTTCTGAAGAGGATTCAAAGGATTTAATTAGTATGAAGTTGTAAACGCCGCGTAATACTTAGGCTTTATCGATCCTCCACTTAGGAGGACTGGGAAAAACATTACAGTTTTAGGTGTACTGAAGTAAAACGATTACCAGGAGATGATTCATTAAGTCCAGTTGGCATTTGAGTCAAAAAATTCCCATTAGCTTGGCTGGCATCTTGTGTTGTCATGGGTAGATCTAAAAAGAAAAAAATGCATAAAGAAACTTTAATCCTTTTCAGTAGGGCTGAGTTAGAAATATCTAGTTCATGAGAAGAATTAACAGAAGTCCCTCACCTCAGCCTACTATTTGCATTTCTTTTTTCCTAAATTCTAAGTAAAATAATAGTATTTCGGCTGTACGTACATCAGTTGAATTTCAGATAGTTTACCTTATTTTAGACAACAAAAGATTGGGAGAACAGCAGTAGTATCTTTTATTTGACCTTTGACCTGAAAGAGAGCTTCTTTGTTCAGATCTGCTCTATAAAAAGACAAGCCCTTCTTTTCATGTAGTAAGCCTACCGTTAGGCAAAGCCCTTCAGGTTATTTCAGTAGTCCAATAAAATGTATTATCTGTACTCAAATCTTGTCTTGTCTTTGGGCTTAGACAATCACAGCTTAACACTGACGCTAATTTATTACTTTTAGACATAGACTGGCAGATTCAGTAATAGTGTAAGAACTCCATTACAGCATGACATCTGCCTATCCTGTTTTGGGACATAACAAACAACCTCCTCACCTTTCATTATGACTCTGATGAACAAAGCAAAAGGCATCACTGGCATGGAACATGGATTTCACCAAGTAATACTAATCACTATTCCCAGGTTCCAGCTTCCTTACCACCATCACAAATCTAATTTTGTTCCTACAATAACAGTTTTTGTTAAGAGCCAGGCAAGATTCCAGGGTTTTGCTTTATGTTCTTGATTGAATAAAGGACAGTAGGGGAAGAGGGACAGGATTTGTTTAGTTTTTGAGCATGCTGCTGTGTCACTCTTGTATTAAGAATTCATGGTCCTTACAGAATGTACAAAAATGAAGATTCTTTGGTTGGTTAGGACAGTAGTTCTGCTTGATCTCTGCTTGATGAGAGCAGGGAAGGCTATTATACTTCTGATATTAAGGATAAGGTTGAAGAAAGGTCAATGAATTTTACATCTGTGCAGTGTCTTGAGACAGTCTATGGTTGTCATGGATCACCCGACTGTGTCAGCTTAGTCACCTGCATAGTAATTAAAAATCTTCCAAGATGATAAATTTAGAAGGTGCCAGTGCCAAGCTGTACAGCAGCTCTGTTATCTCTCTGCAAGGAAGCCAGATAACCTGCAACATGGTTTGCATAGTAAGAGTTTTCATCTTGGCTTTCTTCCTTGATTCACATACCAATTGAAAAGAGTCAAGTAACATAATTTCTAGTCAGAGTTGCTTCTATATCTTAGCTCATATCTGTCCATATGTAAACCTGTGTAGCACAGAAGTAACATCGCACCTCTGTCTTGTCCTCTTATATGCACCCGGCTGAACAGCATAGAAGATCAACACGAACCAGCACTAGATGACCAGTGTCATCAAGCCAGACAGTGAGGTTAAGTAGAGTAACTTCTCAGAAGCTATTGGCTCAGGGCTAAATGTCTTAGCCCATAATTGATTTGCATTAGATTTAACCAATGAAAGTGGTGAATTGCTGGGTTCTTGTTGCCCCAGTCTTTATAGAGGAAAGCGCAGATGAGAGCACGTGATCATTTATTTGTTTTTCTGCCTTTCCTCTGCTCCGTAGTACCACCAATATTTTAAAGAGGGGATCTACTGTACTTATCAGAGCAATTTCAGGCTTTTACATTTTTTGCTTTTGCTTTAGAATCCTACAGACAGCCTGGCCCACTTGTGTATCTTCACAAAAGCACAACAGAGAAAAGTGGCTGAAAAAGAAGTCTGAGATACAGCTTGGTTTAATTTGTCATTTATGTTTAATTTATTGTCAATTAATTTAGTATCAGTTATACTCTCTGCAAATGCACAAAGCATTCAGTAACATCTGAAATTGGCTCCCAGACTAGAGAACTTCATAGGGCCCCTATGAAGGGAACAGCTACAGCACGAGCTCTTGTTAGGCACCAGAAAACCCTAATAAGGGAGCTCTGAACACCCTGATTACAGTCGTTCCTTCAGGACAAACCAGAAAAACCAACAACGAAGCAAAGCCTATAGGAAATGAGACATTTCCTCTGCTCGCATAACTTGTGTGAGTTTTCAGAGGCAGAAGTTACAAGATAGGATGCGTTAAGTCTGCTTTTCTTAAAGGAATCTGGCAACATACAATGCAACTAAACCAGGCAACTAAATAAAGCAACAAGCTCTGAAGAACGTGTCTTGGCATTTAGTATTTACTCTGAAATTACCTTCAACTCAACACAGAGGTGATTGCTTATTTAATTATTTTGAAAAATTCAACAATTAAAGACTTAAAAGATACAGTTGACAGAATTCAAAACTATTCAAGCTACTTATCCCAAAATAAAAACTAGGAAGCCTTTTCCCTTTTGGTATCTGCCTGACCAGCTGTAGGATATCTAACCCACCATCAGTGACGCAGTCCTTTTGCATGTGGTACTTCCTTAGGTTTCATTTAACCACAAACATTAATTTTCTGTTTGAAGAAACATGCTTGTGGCGATTCAAATTTAAGTGAACCTGCAAACGTCTCCAGAATACATCTTGTTTCTGGACCTCACTAGAAGGCAGTTTTAGCATATCTCCCTCCAAGGAGGTGTTAACTTCCCTTTGATGTGGTGTTCAGCTAGTGCCTGTGCTTGACCAAGTGTTTGCAAATTATCAGCTAACGGAAAAACAAAAAACTCTTCCCCGCATTTAAGACAGCGTGGAAATTACAGCATGAAGCCTTTCCACTTACCAAACCTATTACATGAATACGAAAGTGTTTAATATAAATATGAAAACTAGCCTTACTTTATACAGATAAAGGGTCACTAACACAGGTGACCCCAATTACTAATATTGGATCAAAACTAGACATAATATCCATCCCTTTAGAAAGATAGTAGATTTGGGGAAATTATTCCCCAAACAGGGATTTTATGACAGAAAAGGATACAGCTGCCCAGATGGTTTTGCATAAGTGCACTCTGAAATTTAGAATTGCTTCAGTGACCCTTGAGGTATAATTTTTGGTAGTAATGGTAGTAGTCACCAGCAAAAAAATTAATACCATTATGACTTGCTTGTCATGATGTCCCTGACAGGTTCCTACAAACGTTAAGTCCATTGACAATAACAAAACTTTTTCATTGATTGAAGAAACTGTTAGAAAGGACTTCTAAGTAAATCTCTCATATGCACACATATATGTGGTGTGTATATATATATAATACATATACACACACACACACACTAGTTTCAACAAGCTACAGACCTGCAAAACAAGTTTTCTGCCTTTTCACATTTTCATACGAAACTTCTAAAAATTTTATTGAAATGATGATAACATCAAGGAGGGAACAGTATTTAGGAAGAGGAACAGAGGCACCAAGAAATATCTAACTACTTAGTTGCATACTGTGCACTGAAAATGGAGTTAAGTCATTGATGGTTAACTAAACTCACAACATTAATGGTCACATACATATAGCAGGTAGAACTTCCGGTCTTAGCAAAACATGCTCTATTACTTCCATCTTGCATGGCAAATATCAATAGCCTGATATTTTCTTCCATTACTGTTCAGTGTAACCCTGCCACACTTCAAAAACAATGATTAACAATGGAAAACCACTAATTTTATAAATAACTTCATATCTCCTTAGAAGTGGCTGGCCTGCTCTTGAACTACAGAAAACCATTAGAGGCATCTAGTTCAAAATGTTTGAGTCCAGTTTCCTTCATGAATATTTTAAATGTTGAATTTAAAAATGCAATATAAAATCCTCCAAAAAGCATTCTTCAAAACCCACTAGGTGTATTGATATTTAAGTAATTTACTAGTTTAGAACTTACAGGGTTGGGGATTTTTTAAGACTTAATAACACATTATTCGATAAAGATACAACAGCAACTGAATACTATGTCTTTACCTCTGAGTCCTGCACCCGTGAACTAATAAACCTTCTTATTTGTGAGACAGAAAGCATAAACTCTTCGATCACAGAATTTTAGTATCACTAGACATAGTTCAGCATCAGAGCCAGATTATCAGCTACCTACGAAAACACGCTGCGAGGCACCGCTAGCAAGCACGTTAGCTTTCATCAGAAGCAACGCACAAGAACAGTTTTTACTTTCTAACTGGCCTAGGAGATCCCCCAACGCTTATGCAGAAGGAGCAAGGCAAGGCAGCAGGTGCTGCACCTGCATTTTGGTATTAGGGGAGAAACTAGCACAGAGGGGAAGGAAGTGCCGGGGAGTTTCACAGACTGCTGCAACATCTGGGAGGGTTGGGGTGGCAGAAGGAAACAAAAGCCTCGATCTTTCATAGGAACAGGGCCGGCGGACAGTCTCATTTTAAGGCCAGTTGTGTCCTGGGTGGCAAGAAGACACCCCGAAGACCCAGAGAGATGCTTTCGGGCAGGAGGCCCTTCGTTCAGCCCCCGTTCCCAGGCGGTGCCTCCCTCGCCTGGCCCTCTCCCTCCCTCCCTCCCT